GTGGGAACTGTAAGGAAGCGTGTGGAATGGGGTGGGGAGCTGTGTGGGGACGGGCAGAGTGGAAGGGGTTTTCAGGGGCCATGTGGGTGCTGTGGGGGCCGTGGACTCTGAGAAGTGGGTCTGTGTGTGTGGAATGTTGCGGGAGCTGCGAGCACCAGTGGGACCCTGAGAAGTGAGGACTGTGAGGGATCGCGTGGCGGCTGCGTGAGGAAAGGTTTGAGGAATGCCGGAGACTTTCGGGGAGCTGTGAGGAGCTGTGAGATCGGGTGTGTCAGGCTGTGAAGATTTGCGTGTGCAGAAGTGTGAAGAACGCATGTGTAACGAGGCCCTACGTAGTGATCTCTGAGGATCGGGTGGAACTGTGAAACTGTGAAAGAATTGCGAGTGAGAACTTGTGGGAAACCATGAGGAATGGTGTGAGGAGCCTGAGCGATCCCGCAGTCCATGCGGCTGGAGTCCGGTTCACAGTGACTGCTGTGTTCCTTAGTGGGGGGGGGGACTGAGGAGCTGGGCGAGGAGCCCTTTGGGGAAATGCGAAGCTGGATGGGAGGTGGGAGGGACTGAGGGACTGTGTGGTGACCCGCCAGCAGCTCCCTGAGGGCTGTGTGCGGGACTGAGGACATGGAAGCCACTTGGGAACCACGGACTGGCCATGTGAGGGACCCTGGATGGACTGTGACGGAGACTTTTGAAGGGGCCGAGGGAGAGGGTTTTCGAGGAACTGGCTGAGGAACCGCGTGGAGCAGGGAGTGTGGGCAGAGGCTGGCGGATCTGAGGCTCTGAGGATCTGAGGTCCTTCCCTGCTTGTCGGGCAGCAGTGGGCGGGTCGTCAGCAGGGCTCCTAGCGCCTGCTTTAGCCAAGGTCTGGTCCTCAGGCCATTCGTGCTGCGTGAAGGGTAGGCAGGGACAGGGTGGCCTGGGGTGGCCGTCAGGATGGAAGGTCAGCGTTGCACCGACCCAGGCTTGAGACGGTGGAGGCTGGGAGAGCAGGGTGGTCCTGGGAGATGGCCCACTGGACAGGGAGGCCGTGAGGGACCGGGAAACCTGGGGGCTGCTGACTCCTTGCTGAACTGGCTGAATGGACGTTTATCTGGAAACAAGAAATACGACATATGGCGGAGAATTCACCCTCAGGAATTAGAAAATCAAAAAGGAAACTAGAAATAGTTTGTTCCTACCAAGTTTCCGAAGAGAACAGGAAGCAGTCGTGCTGCGGAGCTGCGGGACGGACACCCTGAAACCCGATTGCAGAGAGGTCGCTTCGGCATTCTGGAAGCCCCTTAGACAGGGAGTCTCAAGAGCTTCGCAGTTTTCCATGCCCTGTGGGCCAGTGGAGCCTTCCTGGGCTTGTCTTCGAGAGCAGTGGTGACTGTGTGTGCCCAGCCCTCGAGGTGGCTTCTGCGGGCATGTCCCTGGGTACAGGCTCCAGGGCTGGGGCCTTGCTCTGCAATGCTTCATAAGCCAATGCACACAGGAACCGGTAGACATTGGAAGTCCCTGAAATCCACAGTTAGTGGGATCATTAAGTCAGTCACAGAGTGCCCATCAGAAGCAACTCCCGGCAGCCGTGACGTGGACGGAGTTCATGTTTTGAGGAACTGTTATTTACCTTGATAGAGAAATAGACAGCCAAAGAGATGACAAAAGTGTGGAGGGTGCTTGACCCTGAGGACAGGCGCTAGAGGAGGGCCTGTGAGCTGGCTTCTGCAGGCCCGCAGGGAGAGGGCAGGTGAACGCTGGGTGGAGGGGAGGGGTACGCTGGCGGGGAGGTAAGTGGGGCAGAGGCCAGAGGCCCAGATGGCCACATCTCATTGTGGGGCCTCTTCCCTTTGGTCAGAAGGAGTCGCTGATGGTGTTCGAGGAGGAGCCATGGGCTCAGATGGGCCCTTCAGACAGGGTAGAGGGAGGACACACTTGCTGGGGACATCAGCACTCCTGGCTCGTGTCTAGCTGGGCGGCCCAGACACAGCCAGGGTGGAGGAGGGAGGAACCTGAGGGAGGTGCTCACAAGTCCATGACTGGCCTGGAGGAAGCCTCTGGCCTGGCACCCTGGGGTCTGGGCAGGCAGAGGCCTGGGCGGCCTGTGAACGTGTCCAGCCCAGCCTCCGGCTTTGGGGAGCCACGTGGCAGGGCCCGCTCCGGCTCCTTCCTTTCCCTTCCTCTCCAGTGGGCCTAGCTTGACCTTGAATGTTCCTCCCCCACAGAACAAGAAAAAGAAGAAGACAGATTTCATTCCTTACCGAGACTCCGTGCTGACCTGGCTCCTCAGGGAAAACCTGGGTGAGAACTCGCGGGTCTGCCTGTCCCCAGGGCTCTCATCCCACACCTCTTCCCACCTGAGGGGGTGCCCAGTCACCAGGAGGCCTCTCACCCTGTCTCAGCTGAGGCCGGGAGGTGAACCTGGAAGGTCCAGTCAGTTCTTGGCCCTTCTGGAGGGCCTGGGGCAATGGCCAGCAGTGGGCTAACGGAGCCAGTGTGAGGACCAGGACGGCCCAGGGGGCGGCACAGCCCACACCTGCCTGTGTCCGTGGTCCTGGGTCAGGTGGGCTGTGACCCCCTTCTCTGGGCCTTGGTTTTCCCTACCTGTAATGGGGGCTTGGGACTCGATCTGGGAGCGCTGCTTGCTGGGTTCTGAGGGGCTGTCATGAACCTCCTCTTCCCCATCTGAGCTCTGAGCAGTGAGAGTTAGTGGGGAGGTAGGGACTGAAATGCACCCAACACTGATCCCGGCCCTCCCTGAACAACCTTAGAGTCCTCCCCACCTGCATTTACAGCTGAGAGGCTGGTACCCAGGGAGGTAAACTGAGTCTTGAGCCTGGTGAACATAGATGACGGGGGTCTCGGGCCTCCCTTGGCTGCATGGCTGAGGTGTGCAGAGCCCTGGCTGATCACCTCTGCACCCCACAACTAGCTAGGCTGCTCCCAGCTCACGCCGGCATTGCAGACTGCAGCAGGCCTGCCTGGTGGAGAAGCAGGTGGATGGGCCTCGCGGAGCGAGGATGAGTGTGTGTTCCTTCACCTGAGATGCAGGCTGGGAAGGAGCCCCCTGCTCCAGGCACTCCCACGTTCAGCCCCAGGGTGGGGGCAGGGGAGTCCTCCCACGGAGGCTTTCCTGGGGTACGTGTGGCCTGTGCCCAGCGCTTCACACTGTCTCCTCAGGCCATATGGGGACTCACCGGGGACCCATGCCCTGGGAACCTGGCCCCGAGGACCCACAGGTCCCTGGGGTCAAGCAGGCAAAGTCATCTGTCCAGACTTGAAGCACCAGGAGGCGGCAGTCCCAAGGGCTGGGTGGACTCAGTGGTGACCTTGTCCAATGGCTGAGGCCACCTTGACCGGGTTCCCTGAAGAGAAGGAACAGTCTGTCCCTCACAGCGCGCATTACACGTGCTGGGATCTGGGTAACATGGGCCAGGAATCCGATGATAAATACCGAGAAAAATGTTTCAAATGAAAATGGTGGAAGTGCGTGAGAAAATTATGGAACGCAGATGGTCTTTATCTTGGAGTAAATGCCTCAAAACCCGCCCCAACTTGCCTCTCTGCTTTGGGGGAAAGAAGGCCTGATTGTTGTGACGTGCCCCAGATGTGAGGAAAACACTAGAAGTAATGGGGTGCCTGGTGCACAGGTGAGGAGGCAGCCGAGGAAGCCGGGGTCCTGCTGTTGTCCGTGTTCATGGGGGTGTGAGCTCTGCCTCAGTTTATCTCTCTGGGCCTCAGCGTCCCCATCTGCAGATGTGGGGGGAGGGAACAGGCATAGCACTGGGGCCTAGACGCTTCTCTGGGCACAACCTGGCCTTCTGCCCACAGGCGGTAACTCAAGGACAGCTATGGTGGCAGCCCTGAGTCCTGCAGACATCAACTACGACGAGACCCTCAGCACGCTGAGGTGAGCTCTCCCGGGAGGCAGGCTCTGCTTCTGCCCACTGCTCTTGGGGGACGGACCCTCCTGTGTTTGAATTAGGAGCTTCAGTGAGCAGGGGCGACTCTTTTTGGGGGGGTTATCCTGGACTGTGAGGCTGGAAGGGACTGTTTCTGGGCCCCCTGTGCCTGCGTGGGCCCTGTCCATTCCCTCCATGGAGCCTTTGGGGTGTGCTTTGGGGCTGCAGGCAGCCCAGGGCCCTGTGGCACCAGACTGGGAGACCTATGCCTTTGGGCAAAGCAGCTGACACTCATCTGCCAGCCGGGGAGAGCCAGTGGAGATTTTTAGGTGGCAAAGGGGGCATAGGTGTGTCTTATGGGCAGGGCGGGCACCAGGGGTGGGGAGCCTGGGACCTGGCCGTGCTGGACACTGCTCGGTGGCTTGGGTGGTGGTCTCTACCCTGCTCACTGACCGGTTTTGACCCTGAACCACCAGTGCTTAAGAGAAACAAAGAGCGTGTGTCCCAGTAGAGGCTGGTGTACTTGCTGGCAATGTGGACGTGCACGTCGGCTGGTACACGGCGTGGGCAGAAGCCTATGTACACGGAGATGTTCTCACACTTTTCTCATTGGATTTAACCTCTATCCTGAAACAACTGGGGGTGAGGACACCACCCTGTCCATGCTCTCCTGGGCCTCAGTTTCCCCAAGCGGGTGAGCTGCAACTGGGTGACCTCACCCGTACGTCTCCTCTGGCTGTGGCCCCAAATGCTCTCCCCAGCGACTTGCCATGGGGTGACTTCCCACTCTGTGCCAGGCTGTGCTGGCTCGGGTCCACCCCTGGCTCGGCTGTCTTGGGCAGGGCTCTAGGCACCCTAGGGACCTGCCAGGCATGGCCCTGTCCCGAGCACAGCCCCACAGCCCCCTTTGCCGCCCAGGTATGCCGACCGGGCCAAGCAGATCCGCTGCAATGCCGTCATCAACGAGGACCCCAACAACAAGCTGATCCGCGAGCTGAAGGATGAGGTCACCCGGCTGCGTGACCTGCTGTACGCCCAGGGTCTCGGCGACATCACCGACAGTGAGTGCCCGGCCAGCCTGTCTGGACAGGGTGTGGGGCCTGGGGCTCAGGGGCCTCGCAGGGCGTCACGCCCTCCCTCCTGGGGCCACCACTCTGCTGGCCACGCCCTGGGCTGGCGCAGCTCCAAGCTGCCCCCAGAGCCCCTTGGGGCCAAATCCCTGCCCCTGCTCTGTGTTCCTGGGCAGAACTGCCTCTGGGAGGGAGGCAGGGTCGGGGCCCTGGACAAGGGCGTTTCCTGGCCTTGGCCTGGATGGTACCACATGGTTTGGGTTTGGCACGGATGCCAGTGGGCCGAGACAGCTCCCCTGGAAGCCCCACAGGCAGGCTGTGGGTGCTGGGGTCACGGCAGGCCCCACGTTCTGGAGCTGGAGACCTTCACCACCCCGCTCGCGGCCACGCACGCACTGCTGGCCACCCTGGCCTGTGAAGGGTGTGCCTGACCCTCTGGACAAACCTGTTCTTCTGTTTCTCTGTCTCTCCCCCTCCCCCACGCTCCCTTCCCCCGTAGCCAACACTGTGCCTGGAGGACCCAAATGTGTGTATTCCCTCTGCTGCCCTCCGCATCTCTGCTTCCAGCCCCAGCCAGCATGGGGGCCCAGGGCAGCACGGGCAGGGGGGGTGAGCCCAGGGCACCTGCTCTGCTCTCTTCTCCTTTTGGGGGCAGAAAGCACTGCTCTGCCTCAGCCACAGGGCCTGCTGGTAGACGTGGGATTCTCTCTGCCTCTGAGCCCACACCCTGACTCATTCCCATCCATATGGTCTAGATGGGAAACAAGGCCCTGGGGGAGTCAGGGTGCAGCTGAGGCCTTCTCAGGCTCCAAGTGGCCAGGTCAGGCCTTTGAGCCTCTGTGCCCCGAGGCCTGCGAAGGTCAGGATATCAGCACCAAAGGGCCAGAGCGCAGGAGGGACTGAGCTGTCCCCAGCTCTCAGCTCAAGCCTCTGTGTGCCAGGCCATTTCTCTAGCTGACCTGACCCCACACGCCCAGGCCCGCCACTCTGGAAGTGCCACGAGCCTCAGCTTTCGCTGTGATGCTGCCAAATCCCGCTCAGCCTCTGTGCCTCCTGGCCTTGGCTCTGGCTCCATGGGGCTGGGTACCTCCTGAGCCTGGCTGCAGGCACCCTCCACCTCCCCTACGCCCGTGTCCGGTGCTTACTGCTGCTCTGCTGTGTGTTTGCTTCTGCTAGGAGACCCCTGGCACTGCCCACTCCAGGGATGTCACAGCCCCACCTTCCGGGCCTTAGGGGTGTGTGAGCGTGGGTGGGAGGGTGAGCGCCTCGTGGCGGGGAAGGGCGTCCCCTAGAGGGTCCATGTTCGCCTCCTGCACGATGGTCTCTGGGCTGATGTCCACGTCAGTGGCTGGACGGTTAGTGCAGCCTGGCCACACAGCTCAGGGCTGTGTGGTGTCCCGCGGTGGGTTCGAGGGGCCGGAGGAGGAATGTGGGGTCTGTATGGTGCGCTGCCGGTGGCCTCCGCAAGCCACTGAACAGCGCAGGAAGACGCAGGGTTGACAGGCTTCCAGCCCCCAGGTGCGGGGTCTGCATGGCAGCCTGGCCGTGAGGCCTGGAGTGCAGATGCCTGGCAGGGGGTGCAGGGGAGCTCCAGGGTGCCCAGGGCTGTGTCACGCTGCTGCTGGGGAGGGCAGGCTTGGGGGGCAGGCAGGCACGTGGGTGCCACTGCCAGTCGGGTCCCGTCGGAGGCGAGGGGTGGCAGGAAGGCCTTGCATGCGCTTGTCCTGGGCCGGATGGGCTGCTGTGCCGTGCTGTGGTTTGTGTCTTGCCTTCTCTGGGCTCCACCTCTTACTTTTTCCCATCTTGGTCTTTTTTCTCTCCCTCCCTGTCTGTCTGCCTGCCCTGCCCCTCCTCCTCATAGACGTGTTCGACCTTGAGAACAATAACCTTAACCGTGGCGGGACGGTGAATCCAGCCCCTGACCCTCTCTCCACAGTGACCAACGCCTTGGTGGGCATGAGCCCCTCGTCCTCACTCTCCGCCCTGTCCAGCCGCGCAGCCTCCGTGTCCAGCCTCCACGAGCGCATCTTGTTCGCCCCAGGCAGCGAGGAGGCCATCGAGAGGCTGAAGGTGAGGGCACCGCATGGGGCTTTGGGGTGGCAGGCTTTGGGAGTGGGGGGCTTGAAGGAGTGAGAGCCCCTTGCCTCCTGGGCATAGCCCGTCCTCGCGGGACCATCATGGAGGACCTGCAGGAGCGTCTGGCGTGTGGCACACTGGTGCCCTGTGCCTGGCTTGTCCCCAGACCACCCATAGCAGCCAAGGCAGCCAGTTCACTTGGGCATCCCCAGGCTGGGGTCTGCACGACACTCAGCTGCCAGACAGGAAACGCCCTGCGGGTCCCCAGACATGGGTGTCTGGATGGCATGTGCCCCACCCGGGCCAGGCCTGAGTAGGGAAGCTCTAAGCATGAATGCCTGGGGTGGAGACTCCTCCCATCGAGTTGCATTGTGAGTGGGCGCAGTGAGCTGGATGGCATCCGCGGGTGGAGGGGGACCCTACAGTGCTCCTCCACTGGCGACAGCGCCGGGTCACGGCAGCTTCCTGCCTGGCATCCCACGGAACTGCACCCCCGAGAAGGGCCTGTATTCTCACCCGCGCTGCTCCTGACCCCCCCAGGCAACCTGTGTTCTCACCTGCACGGCTCCTGACCCCCCAGACACCCTGTGTTCTCACCCGCACCGCTCCTGACACCCCAGACACCCTGTGTTCTCACCCGCACCACTCCTGACCCCCAGGCACCCTGTGTTCTCACCCGCGCCGCTCCTGACACCCCCAGGGATCCTGTGTTCTCACACGCACCGCTCCTGACACCCCAGACACCCTGTGTTCTCACCCGCACC